CTCCCATCCTACTTGTGTAATAAGCTGAGGTGCGCTGCCTCCCACCATGGATGAATTTTCAGGATGAGTCAGTAAGAGGCCTAAAAGGGATTTATTAGGCAGCAATTTACAGTATGCACTCAAAGGAATAGAATGCGGGCCCTCAAGAGAGAGGCGCATACAGTTTGGAGCATGAAATAGTTCTGTTTGGGGCAATAGAAGTCTATGGGATTTGTGAATCTGTAAGTAGTTCTCTCTTGTCTTGGTTTCCAGGCAAAGGATAGCCACCCACAGAAAGATAATGGCCATTTTACAGGGGAAAGGCATGAGCCCCACCATTTTTAAAAGATGGGAACCTTTACCTTAAGACCAGGTTTCTGCCCTTGACTTCTAATTTATAAACCTAAAATATCTTTCAGGAATTCTGGGCGTAATAAGACTTGAAGAAAAGCAGCATGAACACACTTAGCAAATACTGATACAGAAAACTTTGGGTAATTTTGTGTTTTGGAGTTGCAGGCTTCTTAAAAGAGCATTTTTCGGTTATGATTTTCCTTGTCTCCTTCCTACCTATCTTTTATTTTTTCTATGCTTCCTCACTACCTGGTCTACCAGGATGTCTCTCCGTGCTCTGCAAATACTGAGGTTTCTGTGGTTAAGAAAAGAGACGCTTGGCCAGCTGCTAGAAAATGTAATGCAGGCACTTTGTTGCTGCCCTAGGTTGTAAAGGGGTCAAAAGCCAACAACTTCTTTCACCTGTAAAATGGACCATTATCTTTCTGTGTGTGGCCATCCTTTTCCTGGAAACCAAGACAAGAGGGAATTTACTACAGATTCACAAATCCCATAGACTTCCACTGCCCAAAGTTGGGTGTGCTCTTCTCTGTCTGTAGCCTTATAAAGACATTCTTCATCTTTTATTGTCCTGCCTTTGCTCAGAGTAGCAGACTCTCCCTAGGAAGTGGCTGGTCCTAAAAAGAGGTATTAGCACGGCATGGTGGCACATGACTATGATCCCAGCACTCTGGGAGGCTGAGGTAGGAGGGCTGCAAGTTTGCAGTCTGGGTAATTTAGGGTCTTACATACTGTCTCAAAAATTTAAAAAAAAAAAAAAAGATCAGTGCAAAGACCCAGTACACACACACACACACACACACACACACACACACACAAGGAGATGCTGCTATAGCTGAAGATGCTTTAGGTGCACTTCAGCCTCCAGGCCCTCGTGGGAGATATTGCTGCTGCGGTGTGCCTGCCCTGGGCTTTCCATACTTGCATCTTCACCTAAGTGGACACTGCTCTTACAGTTCATTCGGGCTGCTCTTTACATGGAGATTAATTTGTTGTTTTTTTTTTTTTTTTGGTTTTTCTCCAGTACCAGGAACCGAACTCACGACCTTGCGCTTGCCAGGCAGGTGCTTTGCCGCTGAGCTAAATCCCCAGCCCCATGGAGATTAATTTG